CACCCCAGTGTTCCCAGTATGGGTGATGTATTAAAAGGCCTGGGCTCTGTTAAGCTTAGATCTACTGTCAGGTAACACATATGTTAACAGATTTGAGATCATTACTATACATATGTCAGCATCCTCTAAGCAATGATATGAAAACTTCTTACTTTAGTTATTCAATTTGGTGAAATAAATTCACTTTTACAGTCTTTATACTTTCTTGAAAACTCAGCAGTCACCAAACTGAACGAACTTGATTTTTGGAATTCCATTTTGACACCCAACAAAATCTGTTTTCAAAAGTAACTCTGACAAAGTCTACATGGAAACTTGCATGTATATTACATCTGGTCTTGTCCACTTTCACTTACAAGGCTCATTTTGTGTGTGTAAGTGAATCAAAGTGAAACTTGATTACATGAGTACATCTTTTTGTAGTCTGATCATGGATGGTTGGAAGGATAGCTAACTTGCTTATGAATAAAATACACTTGGAGTGTTTTGTAATTTGAGTTACCTGGTATATTAGCCTGGAATCACATGAATCTGGTGTTGAGGCAACATGACCTGCAAGTTGCTGACTGTCTTATGTCCATTCAGTCCAAAATTAACAAAGATTGCAGAAAAATCTCTAACAAATTATGTACAAAAATATTGGTCCGAGTTAGTTTCAAAAATAGACCTCAATATTTCGTCACAGTCAAGTTATATCAATTTTGTTCAAAACAAAAGAATGGATTTCAAGTTAAATGTACAAAAATGTGATAAACTTGTGTGAGATTTTGAGACTTACCCGGTAGTAAATTGCTTGTTTCAAATAGTTGATTTCAAGAATGAACCATGCCTATAAGCATGCTTCACCAACTTGCGTAAAAATGTTGTCAGTGGTTTGTAAAATGCAAGTCTTTCTTGTCTTTTCTCCTGCAGGTCCCCTGGTGGCACACCACTCAGAAGGGCACCTAAACCAGCTGACAACAATGACCCAGCATCACTTATAGCACAGGCACTTCGAAAAAAGTTTGCTCATCGGCGTGCGATGGAAAGTCCTGATAAGGAAAACAGTGTAGGATCAACCCCATCTCCCAAATCAAGTCCAATGTTTTCAAAAAACAGTCCAATAAAGGTATGTATTGAAAAATAAATAAATATTTTCATCAAAATTTTGTTTTTCATGTTGTGTTAGGATGTTCATACTACACAGTGTTTGTAAACGGCACATAGATAGCTGGAAAATTAATTGATGGTTTACCAAAAGATTATTTTCATCCCAGTATAATAAATAAATGTATGTTATGTTACACACTGTCTTATGTTTCCTCATTTGATATCAGTTTTTCAGCGCTCAGTGTTACATGGATTGAAAAGTATAATAAAAAAAGCATCAAAAAACATGACAAAAATCAAATAACCCTGTCGGCCATTTTGAATACTGTATTTGTTCTTACTAATAGAAGTACGGTACACATGAGGAAAAATGTTTGAGAGAATGTGCAGTGTTTAATAAAATACAGTAAATATTTACAAAATACAAAAACAATGATCAAAACTGGTTCAATGACTTGATATTTTCCCAAACCTTTTGTACTGAATTTAAAAAAAAAATATCTGAGTAAAATTCATTGAATTGATGATTCATAAAAATTTCTGGCAGGTACTATGTGTTGTATTTATTAAAAAACAATTGTTTTTATAGAAACGCATCTTAATTTATTTCCTTCATCTTTTCTTGATAGTTTGGTCCGCATCTCTTGAAGCCAGTGTCTCATCATGCCTCCGATAGACAGCGTACAACACCACTCGCTGAAGTTAACATTTAGTGTACCTTTCCTGGTCATTACTGTCTTCTTTTACACTTGCGGACACTGCTTTTTGTTTGTTCGTTATTTTAAAAAATATTTTGTTTTTTATTCTATTGTTAATGTCTCATACTGTGTTTCTTTATCTGTAAATAAAAAATTAAGGCTTTTTGAAAGATGGTTTGTGATGCAAATATCTAAAAAGCTGGCAAAAAATGCTTTTCTGTAGAAGCATGTGAAGACATGTCATTGTACAAATAGTTCAACGAGCAAGCTTATGATTGGGTAATGACATTGACTTTCCAGTAAAAATGACCACATGTCAAGCCAGAGGGTTTATTTTCAATTTTATGCACGCTATACGCTAGTTTTCAACCCTTTCAATAGAAATTTGACAAAACGTTTAATCTGAAACTGCCTGTATGGTTTAATATTTGACAAAATATGAAGATGTATACACTAAATTTTGGTCCGGGGGAAAAATATCCATTGGTCTAGTTATCTTATTAGCCCTGCAAATTATTCAAACATTGATCAGTATGTCCAGCCGATATGGTACACCAGTTACTCAGATTTGTGGTGACGCAACTTGTTATGTTAATAAATGAGCGAAGCAGAATTCGTATATTGATGTTGTGGTCTTCAAAAACATCTTAGTTACAAAATTTGTAATTTGGTAAATTCACACATCTGGGCCAAAAGTACTTGTAGTTTAGTCTCCTGTGCGTCTGAGGCTATATCTCGGTGTTACGTCCCCGGGGCAAGGTCTAGTTGTCAAATAGAACCAAGCCCCTGAAACTAACGTATGGTACGAGCCCCCACT